TGACTGTCACTGCAACTCTCACCAAGGAAAAGGCCACACCTAGGGATTTAGTAAGAGCGTGATCTTGCACCACTTGGACTTTTGAACTCATTTCGTAACATCTTTTCTCCCTCTGTTTGAATATACAATAAAGTACCCAAAGCATTTCACAAAAATTATCTTGTTGCAATCTTTACAACAGCCTTGTAAGGTAGGCCAGTATTATCAAATGAAGGGGTGCTGAATTTAAGAGGGAATGGCCATCTAATAAGTATGGCTGAGGTGAGACTCCTTGGATCGTAGCTCAGTTGCTGGGCACCTGAAAGCTTTTCTTTCCATGTCTTTTTAGTCCTGAAGACTGTTAGTCCTCCAAGAATGTATCTTCAGGTTACAGAGCCTTCACAGGATCTGTGTCTCAAACCTCTAATAGTTTGGACCCTTGGCAATTTATCCCACAGTTGCCTCACTTGCTTGCTCACGCCATGGGCCTGGAATTCTGAGCAGGCCTCAGTGCCTTCAGATGTAAATACTGACGGTTACAGGACAATTTCAAACCATCCCAGCAGATTGTGCCACTGTCTGATGTGTGGCTACAGCAACAGTATTACACAAACACCAGTTGCTGGATGAGGTCACCTCTCCCCACACCCTCAGAGCTAGTTGATTCCCTGAGGGCTGAACTGCACATTACATATAGTTCAGTCAGTGATCCTCTTAGAGAGTTGACATCTTAGTTCTGTGGTCCTTTTAAAGGTACAGCATCTGTTTTTCTGGACTTTGTGGTAAACCCACATTTGAAACCCAAAGCGAAAATGAGGGGGGGATTAGCTTTTTAAGCCTTTCCCCTCATGGCGCAAGAGTTGCCATCCATTGGCCAAAAACCAGAGGGAGAGGGACGGGGGGGAGCCATGGAGTTTTGGGCAGATCCTAGAGCAGGGGTGTCGAACTCATTTGTTGTGAGGGCTGGATCTGACATAAATGAGACCTTGTCAGGCCGGGCCATGTGTGTCATAAGATGTAATGCCAGGTAGCGGAGATATAAACTTTATAAAGGACACAAACACAAAGGGTTTTTGTTTAACTTAAAATAAAAACATGCCTAAAACATTAGCACTCTTGCAATATTTTGTTTATTTAACAGTGTCTGATAACTGACACCTCTTGCCCTGAATGACTGCATCAAAATGTCTGTGCTGTTGCAATCTTGAGTACGCTGTTCAGATGTGTATCTGTAAGCTGCAAACCTATGATGACGCAGCAGCAGCAGAACTGGAAGAAGCAGCAGAAGACAGCCAGTTCCACTGCGGGCCTGATGGAAGCCCTCCGGGGCCCTCAGCCCCCCCCCCCCACATGTTTGACACCCCTGTCCTAGAGTGTCAGATCAGTGAGGTGACATAACTTCCTGGTATTTGCCAGACGTACACAATGCAAATTTTTTGGTCTATTTTTCCTCCACCACCACCGTGCCAAGTGTCAGTGAACAGAGGAGGGAGAGGCCAGGAGACCTCCCTACACAGGGCAATTTTTATCAGGACAAAAGGGTGAGATGAAAGGGTGAGAAGTTCCCCTCCTACCTCACACTACTTCTTGACTTCAAATCACTTGACAGCTGTACAGTCAAGGAAGGAAGGGAGGTCTTGACAAGACTTATAGAGCTAGAAGCAGTGTGTTGCTCTGATCCCAGAGTCTAATTCAGAAGGCAACGTGACCAAATTAGCTAAAACACCTCTTAGTGCTATGCTGGGATTAGTAGTCACCAGGTGGCACTGTGGTGTTCCTGAGGCCCTGGAGATGCTACGTGTGAAAGGGAAGACTGAATTTGCCTCCTGCTCTAATTCATCTGCCCTCATCCTCTCTTCCTGTATTTGCCAGCCTGTCCAAAACAAACAAATAAATGAATACAAATTGAGGCAAATTGGTAAGGCAGACAACTCTCCCAGGCTCCCAGGCAACAACACCAAGACCTAAAACATTTAAATAGCAACGCTACTCTCAAAGGAAACAGAGGTGGCCTTTAGGGCACAGGAAATTCTCGATTTAATCTTATTGTGTGTTTATGATGTAGAAAATCAGCTTACAGGAATTGTGAGCCAGGGTAGAGGCTGCTATAGGAGAAGGTCAGAGGGCACAGTTGGATGGTGTGTGGGGTAGCCAGGACTGGGGCTTCCCGATATCTTCTGTTTTCTTAAAAACTAGCTGCAGGAGGCCCTGATTGGGGCCACAGTACAGGAGGGAGGGATTAGGTCAGAGTTGTCAGGTGAAGAGCTCCAAATAACGGAATCCATCACGAGGCCATAAGAAAAATGACTCCTTGCACACATTAGAGCATTAGCAATGTTTTATTAGAAAATACTGTCTTTGTATCAGAGATACAGCACATTTCCCCTTTTCCTTGAGTCTTTCAGGTGCTACTAAATAAGGAGCGGGTCCTTGAGTGTTTCAGGTGCTACTAAATAAGGAGCGGGTCCTTGAAATAAGGAACAGGTGGCAAGCTTAGAGGGTTAACCCTTCTAAAGACTTTTAAGCCATTTTGACTGGAGAAATTGACCAAATCCCCCCCCCCAAGATAGTAAAAGACCCAGGAGAGAACCTCCCACCAACTCTCACACCATCGCTTCAATCCAAATCAGTTGTTCAAATTCTCCAGAAACTGCCTTTTGAGAAAACTGAAGATGGCAGGAGACCCACTCACAAAATGACTGTATCTCATTACTGAAGCCCTAAGCAAAGGAATTCTGGGGTTCTTCCTCCCAATAGCCAAACACATCATGGACACCCCATGACAAGGAGGGCGGGCCAAGCTGTTTCAGGATATTTGTCACGCTTCAAGTGCCATGAGTATGGTTCGAAGCGGGACTGTGTTCATTAGCAGTTCAACAAACAATCAATAGTTAAAATTAACCATGGTTTTGCATGATGTCTGAACTGAGCAATTGTAAATAAAAACATTACCCAAGAAGCATTTTGCTTGATAAGCAATTATATGGCAATCTTAATTAACACTCATGGGATCTATGTAGGCTTGCCAAGTTCCCACCAGGGCAAGAGATTCCCTGTCCATGGTTCCTGTTTGCTACTACTGCTCCATAGAGTTTCAGGAATTCCTAGAGTGGACAGCGGACTGACATCACTTCCAAGTTTTCCCGGAAGTGACATAACAGTATTGTGCCAATGGTGCTTCCCCATATCTCTGCCCTCTGATTTCATGGAAGTCTTGCAAAGGTAAAATGTCTATAGGAACCACGTTCATTAACACAAGGTCTCCCCCATTAAGTGGTTCTCTGTACTGGCTCAACAAGTATGTGTTGTTCAAGAGAAAAAACAACCTACAAGCAAAATGACATTTAACTGTTATTCTGAAAATAAAATAAATAAATTTCCAGCACTTTGTCTCCAAGAATGACTAAAAACTAAAGGAAGAGCTCTCTAGATCAATACTGATGGCGAGACAACAACAGCAACCAGGATAACTTTGGCTCCTGAGTCTGTAAGGAGCTTGGTATTCAGTCTTCAGTACCCATCTCAAGACCCATCTCTAGTGCAGAATCTGGCACCCTAAGGGTCACAAACCATACATTGGTGTTCCATGGGCTATGTCTCAGTCAGGGGTCGTTTCATAGAAAAAGAGCTAGGGGAACTCATTAGCATAACTCATTAGCATATGCCACACCCCCTGACATCAGGGGCCCGGCGGTGGACCTGCAAGGCCGGCGGAAGTGCGAGGAAGCCCCGCCAAGGCCCTCCCTGGCCCCAGGCAGGCAGGGGTGGGGAGAGGCGGGGAGGAAGCAACTTACCCTCCCTCTTCTCCTGCCTCCTCCTGGCTGAATGAGGGCCGGAAGCGGGGCGGCCGGAAGCAGGGGGTGGGGCTTCGTCATGTGCCCCGCCCCCCGCACCTCACCCGGGGGAACTGCGATCCCCCACGTTCCCCCCCGAAATTACCTCTGGTCTCAGCTCTTCATGAGTTTCCAGTAGGAAACACACAGCTGAGGAGTGACTGACTAACTGAAAGTCAGGTTGGGGACCCTACTCTCAAAAAGGATTCCCAACACTGCCTTGGCAAATGCCAGACATCTGGGGGGCCGTGCCTAGGGAAGACTCATAGTGGTCAGTGTGCAGGCTCGGCCTGCACAAGCCTAGGGGATGATGTGATGTCACTTACAGGTTGACACTCTGGGCTGCCTCCCCTTACCTTTATTCTTTACCATAGAAACTAGACAAAATTCCTGGAGTGTCACTATGTGGAGGCCATTTCCCCCATACACTCCTCAGTTCCTTGGGAGAAATTGGGGGGGGCTGGTATTTCCTGTCCCAAGTGGCTAAATGGGTGACCTGTGAAACATGGAATTTGTCTCTGAAATTCCAAGCTTACTTTTTCTTTTAAAATCAGGTTTCTAGCCCTTAAGACTATGGCTTGAAAAATGTGGTCAGTTTTTGGCAAGGCTTTTTTTCTGGGGGAACCTGTGGGAATGGAGTTCTGGAACCTCTTCGACAAAATTATTTTTAAAAAGTTCATGAGTTTTCAGTATACAGATTGAAAACTTCATTTCCCTCTTGAGAGTTCTGGCACCTCTTTTTCCACAATAAAGCCCTGTTTTTTGGTAAAGAGATGAACAGAGGCCCCGGTCACACGGGAGGTTTTGGGCCGGAAGAGGGACAGATTGGGGGCACAGCAAATGGGCGCAAGCACACAACAACATCTGGGAATCGGCGTGCACCCGTCCCCGATCCGTCCCTTCCGGCCTAAAACTCGATGCAAAAACAAACCAAGTAAAAGGTAGCACCAACCTGGAACGGCGCAGCAAGTGCGGCCATGAGATCGCTGACGCGGCCGTCTGCAGGAGCAATCGAGGCTCCCAGCCAAACTTCGCACGCGCACACATGCACAGTTCGGCTGCCTCGCTCTCCCTGCAGTGGCTTCCCCCCCCGGCATCTGATCGTGCAGGGGAGCAACTGCGCGGCGGCTCAGGGGATCAACCACGTGTCTCTTTTGGTGCGGCTTTAAAAAGCCGCACTTCGGCCGTTCTTTTTTCTCCCATGTGGCAGGGGCCAGAGTAGGGCTTCTAGTGGTCAGTGAATGAACTCTAAAGGCTTGCAGGTACACACACAGGGTCCTTCTGCTATTCCCCTCCTGCTTTAAAACTATTGGCTCACAAATTCCAGACTCCACGCTCTTATCTTCTCTCCTTCCTCCCTCCCTCCCTCCCTTGCCCTGCCACCTCAGTCCTCTCCAAAACTCCTCCATCTGTCTGAAGGCCTATATTCAAGGTATTCAAATGCACTATGCAAATCAGGAAATAGATCTGCATTTGCGTAACATGATTTATTGAGTGCAGAGTCTGGGCTTCCTGGGCGTAGACTGAAGTTTGCTTGGCCAGCACGCACAGCCCCTGAGTGAATCCTCCAAAGAAATACAGAACAGTCGCCTTGCCTCTGGGTTCAGCTTACAGATACTGATAGTAGCACGCAGGTTTCCCAAATACACGCTCCCTGGGGAAGTTTCAGGTAAGGGAAACGGCATCCCGGGCACCCGTGGTCACAATTGGAATTGGACCCCCATGTCTGAATTCCCAGCACAGAGCTTGCAAGGCATGTCTGACTGAAAGTCCTTGTGACAGACCGAGACAGAATTCAAGAGTAATATGACATAGAGCTGGGGGGATCAGTTTTCACCATGTATCTCATATTTGAAGGACCATCCCCTTCCATATGTCCCTGTGCCATTAACTATGGCTGCCATCTGTTGGCTATTCCACTGTTGGAAGTGAAGGACTCTGTGCTGTCGCTTAGCCTCACACTTCAGAGGGGGACTATAACAGAGTCAGAGAGATAGATAGGCTACGACACTAATCATCCTTCCCTTCTACTACTCTCTGATGCTACCCCTTTGATGTGTAGATTACTCTTAAGGAGACTTCCTTTCTTCCGGTCTTGAAACCTTCTCTCCCCACTATGCTAATCTTCTCCATCTTGGCAGCATGAGGGCAGGACGTGCTTCCTGCATCTCTATCCATCCTAGCTAGTTAGACTAGATTAGAAACCTATCCCTACTCTATCATGTCTAGAATGGAGTTGCTTACAATAAAGGACTCATATTAGTTTTGCAAAGATAAAGAGGCTCAGTGTGTCTTTAACCTGAATACATCTGTAACTATTGTTGTAAGCCACCTTAAACCATGAGGAGTGGCAGGATGTAAATGTTTTAATAAATAAATAAATAAACATTGCCTTCCAACTGCTGCTGAAGAGAACCCCACAACTCACTGGCTTCCAGTTTCCTGGATCCCCTTTCTTCATCTCAGGTGCCCCCTCACCCCGCTGTCTTGGATCTGCTAGTTGTCAGTGAGGTGGTAAAGGTGCGTCTTGACTGTACCACTTCAGACTGTGGCCACCCCACTAAATCTGAAGAGGTACGGCCCACACGCAAGTTTGCCCCTCAGTGAGAACTAAGCGTCTTCTGTTCCTTTTTTCTGCCCTCATCCATCTCACTGTCCTCCCCCAGTCTGCCTACCGCCACCTTCTACATCCCCCCTCGGCACCCGTCCTCCTGGCTCAGTATTTGCTTCTCCTCGGTTCTCCCGGACTTCCTCATCACAACATTTACGGCACCCTTTGTTCCAGCATGTTCTGAGGTAAAAGTAGCCGCTGCAAGCCACTATGAAAAGACAGCAAGTGAGAACCAGGCCCCAAAGGGCAACCCGTTTTTCTGCTCTCCCTCTCACAACACATTCGACGGATGGTGGGCAGGTAGCAGCTCTTGGGTTACAGACCCACAACCGAGTCAGGAGACTAGGCATCTGGAGGACAATTATAACACAGAGGAAAGCGATCTCGGTGGCTAGGAGGAACCCAACCCATATGTCAAAGAAGGGTATGCCGCAAAGGTTAGTGATGGCCCTCTTGGCTTTCTCCTGTGACCCAGGACCAGAGTTACCGGAAGACGGTTGGCGCAGGGGCTCACCCTGGGTAGCTGAACAACATGAGTTGTTTTCGGGACATGGGCAGCCCGCATCGTTGTGGCAGCAGAATGGTGGTCCGGTAGATACGCCTGGTCCAGGTGCCATTCTCTGTCCACCACTGGGCCTGCTCTGAGCAGCCATCTTGGTATCTTGAGCTAGCTGTTGTTGGACAGGTGCCGGGTTTCTAAAGCCCACCTGGCTTTTGTTGGGCATGTTATTCCTGTGAACCTGCCTGCGTTTGAGGGCCACGTTTTCTTTGCTATCCAGGTTGCTCTCGATTACAGGCCTGCATTTGGTTGCCATCTTGTATTTCCTTCTGTAGGGTGAGGAAACAGGAACACACTTGGTGGGCACTTTGTACTGCCCTGTTTCATCGCAATGGAATGCAGCTCTTGTTTGCTTGATGCGGCCCTGAAGGGGAGGTGCGTTGTGCTGATGAGCGGCCATCTTGGTTTGCCTGCAGTCCACGGGGCCTACACCCATGTTGCTCTGAGCTGTGTTATAGCTGTGGGCAGGCATTTTGGTTTTGCCATTGTGCCCAGGGTGAATGGGCATACCGTATCCTCCATCAGCAGGGACGTTATATCCCCCACTTGCAGAGACACCGGGCCCTTCATTGGCAGGCACACTACGTCCTTCATCATCAGGCATGACATGACCTCCTTCACCAGGTACAACGTGTCCTACTTCGGCAAGGATGCTGTACCCTCCTTCGGAAGGCATGCTGTATCCTCCATCGGAAGGTACGCTATACCCTCCATCGGAAGGCGCGCTGTATCCTCCTTCACCAGGCATGCCGTACACTCCACCACCGGGCATGCCGTATCCACCAGTTCTGTATGGACCAAAGGGTACGATGGATCCATATCCCTCACCCATGGGACCCATATCAGGCCTATGCCAACGTGCCCGGTAGGGATGGTGGTGATGATAGGGATGGTTGGGAAAGTCGTGGTATTCATCATCATAACCATCACCATAACCATCATCATCATCACCCTCATCATAGCCATTATTTGCAGGGAGACCATGGCGCCCAACCGTATAGACCGTAGATATGTCAGGAGCGCCACTGTGGGACGCAGTGGCGACGACAGATAAGCCCCTCCCCTTGTCCTTGTCCTTGTCGTCCTCTTTTTCGTTTTCTTTTTTTTCCTCGGGGCTGCTGAGCCTCATTAGCCCCACGTAAAGGAGGTTCAAGAGGAACACCAGCCCCCATGTGGCCGAAACGGACGTCGCAAAGTGTTGGTTGTGGCACAGGGCCGTGCAGAACGCCACGGACTTCTCTGGCACGGGCTGGACCCAGTTGCAGGTCAGGTCCTCCTTGGCCTTGTCCCAGGGCCCATTGGAGAAGAAGATGGCCACGATGCGGAGGCCCAGCAGGAAGTACCATGGGCCCAGACCCTCGCAGTCGAGTGCTCCAGAGAGAGAGGACAGCAGGGGGCGGAAGAGGTGGATAAGACCCGAGAGGATGATGGACATCTGTGGGGTGAAAAGCAAAACAGGGGGGGAGAAAAAAAAGAGTGCTTAGATCCTGTGTCAGGAGTCAGGACTAATCCTTACCCGAATGGGAATCCGCTAGCCTGAACGTAGGTAGGTGTCCTTTGTGGTGAGATACTCTAGGCTGCAGGACAAAAGGTGGAAAAGAGCAGCATGCCAAGACTGCTTTCTCCCAGGGGTCGTTTCGTAGAAAAAGAGCTAGGGGAGCTCATTAGCATAACTCATTAGCATATGCCACACCCCCTGACATCATAAGGCCCGGCGGTGGACCTGCAAGGCCGGCGGGAGTGCGAGGAAGCCCCGCCAAGGCCCTCCCTGGCCCCAGGCAGGCAGGGGTGGGGAGAGGCGGGGAGGAAGCAACTTACCCTCCCTCTTCTCCTGCCTCCTCCTGGGTGAATGAGGGCCGGAAGCAGGGGGCGTGGCTTCGTCGTGTGCCCTGCTTCCCCACCTCACCCGGGGGAACTGCGATCCCCCGCGATCCCCCCCGAAATGACCTCTGCTTTCTCCCCAGATATCCTGTTGGCTGTCCCTGATCCAGCCCAGCTAAAAGTGGGGCCTTGAGTTCTCTCGGTATTACAGACTACACAGATCAGTTCCTCCGGAGGAAATGGCAACTTCAGAAGGCACTGCTATAGAGTTTAGGAGGAATGCAAGTCCTAGAGTAGTTACAGAGAGTGGGTGCTCCACAGAGAGTGGGTGCTCCAGTTTGGTGTAGTGGTTAGGAACATGGACTCTAATCTGGGAGAATCAGGTTTGATTCCCCACTCCTCCACATGCAGCCGCTGGTGTGACCTTGGGTCACATATGAGTGTCAAGCTATCACAATAAGTTAATATGAAAATATAAATATGACCACGGAAATGTCTTCGGACTGCGCTGGCTCTTTGGCTTTGAAACGGAGATGAGCACCGCAACCCTAGAGTCGGACTCGACTGGCTTTCGAGCAAGGGAACCTTTACCTTTACCTTTACTCTACACATTAGTAAAATATAAGATAGGTTAAAAGAAATGATCCAAATATCAGACTCTTAAAACTCTTTACATACAGAGCTGTTAGTTTCGCATATACAACTGATGGGCAGTGTTCCCTCTAAGCTGAGTCAGTGTGAGCCAGCTCACAGTTTTTTAGCCTCCAGCTCACAGATTTTTGTCTCCGCTCAGGAAGGAGGGCTCCAGAGCAAACTAATTTATGCAGTAGCCAAATTGCTTGCTCACAATTTTAATGCCAGTAGCTCACAAAGTAGAATTTCTGCTCACAAGACTCGACAGCTTAGAGGGAACATTGCTGATGGGTATATCTCATGACCAGTAGGGCCTTCCTCAGTGGTCAATATTACTATTATAAAACAACACGCCTCCAGAAATAAATATATGGGAAAATTATTTTCTTTACTACCTTTGATGGAAGAGGCACACATCCAGACACATTGGATATTTGGTACCAGAACAATTTGGAGAGCATGTGCAGTTACCATGAGAGATTATCCATGGCCTACTGTGTAAACTTTTAGCAACTGCACGTCACACGAGAAAGCAACACCAGGCTTTAAAGAATAAATAGACTAATGGAATTTATTACAGCATAAGCTTTTTGTGAGTCATAGCTCGCTTTATCATATGCAGATTTGTGCTGGGAATAAAACTTGTTGAACACATGAAGGTGCCTTAGACTGAAGCAGACCCTTGGGCCCGTCAAGGTTAGTATTGTCTACTTTGATTGGCAGTGCCTCTCCAGGGTTTCAGGCAGAGATCTTCCACATCATCTACTATCTGGTACTTTCAACTGGAGATCCTGGGGACTGAACCTGGGACCTTCTGCCTGCCAAGCAGATGCTCCACTATTGAGCCATGGACCCTCCCCATGTTTACCTGCTTCTAAAAATCATTGGGATGATGAAAAAGAAGAGTTGGTTTTTATGCCCCGCTTTTCCATACCCTAAGGAGTTTCAGAGCAGCTTACAATCACCTTCCCTTCCTCTCTCCACAACAGGCACCTTGTGAGGTAGGTGGGGCTGAGAGACTTCTGAAAGAACTGTGACTGTCCCAAGGTAACCGAGCAGGTTTCATGTGGAGAAGTGGGGAATCAAAGCCGGTTCTCCAGATTATAGTCTGCCACTCTCAACCACTATACCACGCTGGCTCTGGATGTGGAATGGTATGGTACAACCTGATTTCATCAGATCTCAAAAACTAGGCAGGGTTGGTACTTGGATGGGAGACCATCAAGGAAGACTCTGCAGAGGAAAGCCAGGGGTCGTTTCGTAGAAAAAGAGCTAGAGGAACTCATTAGCATAACTCATTAGCATATGCCACACCCCCTGACATCAGGGGCCTGGCGGTGGACCTGCAAGGCTGGGGGGAGTGTGAGGAAGCCCCGCCAAGGCCCTCCCTGGCCCCAGGCAGGCAGGGGTGGGGAGAGGCGGGGAGGAAGCAACTTACCCTCCCTCTTCTCCTGCCTCCTGGCTGAATGAGGGCCGGAAGCGGGGCGGCCGGAAGCAGGGGGCGGGGCTTCGTCGTGTGCCCCGCCCCCCGCACCTCACCCGGGGGAACTGTGATCCCCCGCAATCCCCCCCGAAATGACCTCTGAGGAAAGCAATGGCAAACCACCTCTGCTTCTCCCTTGCCTCGAAAACCCCTTGCTGGGGTCGCCATAAATTGTGACTTTATGGCACATGCATAAATAACAATCATTTATTTCCACACACCCACACCCTTTTACCTCTCTTTACGGGTTTTTTTTCTCACATCCCAAGGAGAGTTTTCCATAGAACTGAATATTTCATTGGATTATCTTTCTTCCTCTTTCCTTATGAACTTGTCTCTGATCCAGTCTAGCCCCAATCCTAACACTTTTCGGTCACCACCATCCCATTCTGTTCCATTTGTCTTTCAGTCTCCAGTTCGCCCTGCCCTCAAGAGGACAATACAGATGCAAACCACATGTAAACAAAACAAAAAATCTGATTTGAGTTAAATTAAATCTTCTCATTCTCAGCAGCCGCCTTGCTGTGAAGAAGAAACAAGCCCAAGCCGATCTTGTGATAGACTGAAGGGCTAGCTTGAAGAGACAAATTTGAAGTTAAATTCTGAGACAGCAATTTTTGTCCCAAATACTTTGGCCTAATGACAGAACCTGCACCTTACCAGGATAGTGGAAGGGAAGCGCCCTTATAGTGGCAGCAGAGCATTGTGTATATATTTCCCTTAGACACTCCCTTAGACAGTGGGAGGGCTTCTGGTGTCCTGGCCCCACTGCTGGACCTCCTGAGGGCACCTGGTATTTATGGCCACTGTGTGACACAGGGTGTTGGACTAGATGAGCCATTGGCCTGATCCAACATTGGCTTCTCTTATGTTCTTATAAGAGGGAATTGGATAAGCATATGGAGCAAGAGGTCCATCAGTGGCTCTTAGCCACAAGGTATAGATAGGAACTCTCGGTCTGGGGGCAAATGATGCTCTGTATTCTTGGTGCCGGGGGGGTGCAACAGTGGGAGGGCTTCTCGTGTCCTGGCCCCACTGCTGGACCTCCTGAGGGCACCTGGTATTTTTGGCCACTGTGTGACCCAGAGCGTTGGACTGGATGGGCCATTGGCCTGATCCAACATTGGCTTCTCTTATGTTCTTATGTTCTCCTCAAGGATGGTGTGGTCTTTCCAGGATAACACACTGCCTTAGAGTAATTGCTGTAAGGAATCTTGTGTGTCGTTCACAAGCCCGATGCCATACTGGAAACACCTGTTGGCCAGGCTGGAAGAAAAGGAAGAGGACCACCAGGACAGCCAGAGAGAAAGAGGATGTTGACAGGTTATGAAGGAGGGTGAAGCAAATACATGGGGTACTGCCTCCCGCCCCCCAAACCCCATTTGTTCTGGCAAATGAAGCTTCCCACAGCCAGCTGTATGAGGAGGAAGGCGGCTGTCCTGATGGGGGAAGTCAAACCAGTAGACATACAAACCACCCAGCAGACTAGTGCTCAGTCTCTCTCTGTTTGCTTACCTGCCCTGTTGCTAATGGGGCTGTGCCTTTTCCGCCTCCTGCTTTGATTTTCTGATACGTTCAGCCCTTTTCATCAAGTGTATGAGGAAAATGTGTTACATGTGATCTTCCCAGTCCACACAGTCACCCTTTTCTCTCAAGGGAGCAACACATGTATTTCCAGCCTCAGTGCACACATACTGGAACCCTGATTCACATGCACCAAAGCTGAAAACACGAACGGCGCTCCTTTCAGACAAAATGGCAGCTGTGTGTACGGGAACGATGGTGTGTAGTGCTTCTCTCCATGCAAGTGGTAAAAGGTAATGACTGAAAAGTGGTCCGCAGTCACATGGATATGAAAAAAAGACATCAAAGTGCATTCACGGCACTGTAAGCCTCCATTTGTCTGTTTTTGCCTTTAGAGTTCATCGGTGAAATGCCAGACTGGTCAAAAACAATAGTGGCCCTGGTCACACGGAGCATTAGGCACGCTAGAGGGATGGAAGATAGGTGGATTTTCCGGGCGTGATCTCACTGCCACATCTGGGAAGCGTAGAGCTCCCGTGGCTCACCCGAGGCTTCCCGCCGAAGATGCGGGGTAAAAAACGAGTACCTCCGAGGTGCTAGTTTCTGGAAACCACGGGGCAAGGGCGGGCGTCTGATCACGTTTCCGGTGGCATCCGGCGCCCGCCCATGTCCCGTCGCGAAAAGGTTTCCCCCCCCACCCCGTCTCCACGGATGCGCACAAGTACCCAACGGAGCATGCAAACACTTGGGTAAAAAGAAAAAAAAAACCCCCGCCGATCCGCTTCTTTGCCGCGCCGCAGGAGTGAGGTATGATCGGCACCTCCCCGGCACCTTCCCCCAACCACGGGACGTCAGTGGGACGTTTGATCCCGCTGCCGCGCGGTAGTTCGCTCCGGGGCAAACAGCCCCCCCCCAGCGATATCCGGCCCGTGTGACCGGGGCCATTGTCTATTTATCACACATATACTGCCTCT